GCAAAGACTGGATCTGGCTCAGGGGATCCACATTGCGAGAGAAGCTATGGGGGACCGGTGGCGACCTTAAACGCACAATCCTATTTTTGACCCAGACGGGACTCAATGTGTAGCATGACTGATGTTGAACGCAGAAGAAGAAGAAAAATACGCTGCATAAATGCCAGGTGTCGCCTTTTAATAGAAGATAACCGAGGCAGGGCGCGCTCGGCTGCTTTGTATATTGTGAAGCTGGGAAGTCTTAGGCTATCAATGCCTCCCTTCATTCTCATGTGGTAAGCTCTCGCTGCCAGTGTCGCTGGATTCATTCTCACCAAGTTGTCGAACCATTTCAGTCTTTATTTCTTAACAACTTTTACTATAGGTATCGCTTCCAACAGTTGTTATAATCTCTTCACTACTCGCATCTCTTCTGGTTTTATTCGCAGCCCTTCTCAAGCATCTCACAGGTAAGTTTTCTCTCGTGTCCTCTGGAAAGTCCGAGACTGGCAGCCTACATTTGGAACCAGTTATAAGTTTCGTTTCAAAGCTCTATTGTAATAGCTTCTTCTCTTCCACCTTGTACCTTATCGAAGTGTCAGGGGCAGATGTATTGCTCGTTGATGAGCTCTGTCAAGAGCACTATTAAGACTGATGTTCATTTCTGTAAGGCTGTTCTTAATGCCATCACTCCATATTTTCCGAGGTCTTCCACTCGCTGTATACCCGTTGTAACGTTTTAGTGTGGCAGATAGTACCAGGGCATTCTTGTTAGGTGACCAAACCACTTCATTTGTTGTTCTTTTACGACCTGTAAGACTGGCTTTATTCCTAGCATTTGTCTAATTTCATGATTTCACATTGTCTTTCATTGAAACTCATGCAGCTCTTCTTGGGCATTTCATCTCTGTTGTCACAATTTCACGTTTGGCATTGGTAGCATAGTATTGTAATAGCTTGGTGTTGCAAAAATAGGGTAATCTGCTATGAAAAGTTTTTGGAATCTTGTCTATTTCTGTCAGATCTACTACTGTTTGTAAAGATACTATCCGAGCATTTCAATTATTGCCTATGTTTCAAACGTTAGTCTTGTATCTTTATATCGACGGATATTTGTTCTCTACAATACCCATGACTTGTTTTTATGAGACTTGCTGTATGTATGGAAGAGGCGATAAGAAATCATGTGCACGGCGATTCCTTAATGGAATCCAGTACAAGATAATCTGTAAATTATACTTCTAATAGTTAGGCGTATCTTGCCTTATTGGCGGTTAGACACCCCCCCCCCCCTTTCCCCCGCCTTAATTTCACCAGAGTACAATCAAGTTTGGCCCACTGACATTTTTGACACGTCCCCTGAAACCTGAGTTTCAAGAACCGCTGAATTTGGCGCCAATCTTGACAACAAAAAGTTAAGGTCAACCACCCCCGCCCTTGCAAGGATGTAGCTGAAAAAACATGTGGTCGGCGATGATGCAACGCTATGAAACGTGTTAAGTCTGGCCGCGTCAGTTTGTTAGCTTTTGCTAACTACGGCTTGACAGAAGCTGCTCTCTCTCTCTCTCCAAAGCTTCATATGCCCACACTGCTTATCACCATCTTTGTTAATTTCTGATTTTGTCGTTAAGCGCCATGGGCAGGGGGGAAAAAAATAGTTCAGCTGTAATTTTAATTTTTTTTTAATGAAATTTGCTTTGGATTACCCCCCCCCCCCCCTCTTTCTTTTTTTGGGACACCATCATACGTCAACCGTATGTCGAGACACCCTTCAGTAATATCCAATGTCAGCCAGTTTTTATGCGCACTGTGACGTGTTATTAAATGATGCTTAAAAGACGACCAGAGCACTTATGGGTATGCCCTTGCCCGCCATATGTATTCAATTTGCATGTGGTTTCCTGCAATGTAAAGACAGAACAAGGACCCCCCCCCCCCCCCCCCCCTCCAATCCTTTCCCGAGCTGGTAATCATGTCTTCCACAATCTTCTGCCTCATGTACTATGAATTCTCCCTTAAAAGCTGTTCTAATTTCCAGAAAATAAAGCTCAACTGTCCCAAAATCTCTCTTGGTTTCCCTCTGCCTATCTTTCCTCTCCATTATCTTGCTGTCACCAAGCATTCCCATGATGTGTCCCAAAGAATGTATGTAGACTGTGTCTTTCTGATGAGGGTAACCAGTTTTATCCATGTGTTAATTCATTTCGAGACATTACATTTTGTGTCTGTTTATGATGTTTTTATTGTCACAAAAAAGCCATTTATAAAATCTACGCTGCTGGGGCTTTAATGGGCTAGGCCTTGATTAAGTGTTTAAAACATGTCAAATAATTTATGTATTGTTAGACAGAAAAAAAAAACTAGGGGTGTCATTATAGTGCTTAAATCTTCCGGTTCTGGTTCCTCCTGCTTCCACATAATTGTAAAAACAGAATCACACCACACACACACAAAAACAGGGCAAGAGCAGCTCTTCAACAAACAACAAATTAACAAATTTATAAAATGCCATCAGACTGCAGCCAGAAACAGAATTCTGAAGCGCTACACAGAGGCTGTCATGTCTTACGTATGGCAAACTTTTACAAGTATCTTCTACATATGTTGTTCCGTCTACCCTGATTTTTTGGGGCCAGTGGATTTCAGTGAAAAGGTTATTAAATTATCAGTTTTCAAAGTGTGCCTAATACAATGTCAGCATTTTGTTCTTTACCTCCGGTTTCAATGGATTCATGTTCTGCTCCAGAGCACAGCATCAGGGATTTTGTGGCTCCATTTTAGAGAATACAGAATATACCCACTGCTCTCCCCCCCCCCCACCAAGCAGGTTACATTAGGCTACTAATTCATCACAGTGCATCTGTTCGAGAGCAAAGAACCAACAGTCTGCATACAAATAGGCCAGATCTGTAAAATGGTCCTGCAAAATTCAAGTTCTGGGATCAAGACCAAAGTCCAGAAGTGAACAAACAGCCAGAATGTTTAGCCGGAGTCTACAGCAGGTCACTGCTAAGAAGAAGAAGAAGAACACCTTTAATGGCAGGTGTAAACTAATTATTGTTTGCAGTCTGTTAGAAACTGTCATGTTTCTGCTCCATGCAATAGCAGTAAATTGAAATTTGGGCTGAATATTCTAAGTTTGGCATTATGTTTGATTCCTTTTGACCTCAACAACTTTCCTAATGCTATAAAAACTGCCTCTAATCTTTTGTATATATCTCCATCTGTTCCCACATGTTTGTCTACAATCTGGCTGAATCCTAAGCACCGAAACATTAGGGGCAACGAAACAAAAGACTAACAAAAATTGGATGACATAAGGTACAGCCAGATATAGGATGCACTTTCGAGGAAAATATAGCTTGAATCAAGGTAGCCACTAGAACACTTCCCATCCAGAAGATTCACTCAACCTTCTCACACGAAGAAAACAGACCATTATATTCAGACTGCATCCTCGACACAACATGCTCTGCAACTATATGTACAAGAAATTCAAGATTGGGGATTCAGAACTTTGCTTATATGGACAGGCATAACAGAATACTGAACATGTGCTACAGGCATGCTCTCTCTACATGCAGTAGGGAAATATCAAGTTTGGCTAGTTGGCAATGCAATGGTAATCAAGCTGTACAGATCAGTGAGCGACATGCATCGCACCACAGACTTTATAAAGGCCTGTGGCCTTCTCTGAAAATCATTGGCAGTGAGAACGAAAAGAAGACCAACTAAATGAGTGTTAAACTGAGGGAAAAAGGTTACTAAAAAAAATGAGTTGCAGTGAAATATCTGTATGCTAGCCTGCTGAGACAGTGATCCAGGTTAAATCCCTAAAAATGGGAGTATTTTTCCTGACGAGCGTGGCTCTTGGGAGCTGCTGTAGCAGTGGCTAGATGCTCTCCTACCAGCCCAAAGGTTTTAGGTTCAAATCGACATCAAGGTGGATTTTTCCTGCAAAATTTACCTTGGCTCCAAAGTTGGCTCAGCCTAAAACCGGTACCCGGTAATGTCCCGTAAAGTAAAGGCGGTCTGCATAATGCTGACCACATCACCCAGAGAGTGCCGATTAGTCTTTAAAACGAGTCTAGCATCACAGTTCTGATGTGCCACTGGCTGAAAAAGGGCTCTTTATTTCATTTACTTTTTCTATTGTGGCTTTAGGTTCAACCCAGCAGATAATTTTTTTTTAAAATCAATACCAGATAATTTTCTGACAATGGACTGAGAATTAAAAGTGGTAGGAAAGATAATTTCCAGAATTTTCTGGCAATGAAAAGTGATGGGAAAGATAACAGGTCACCACAGGTCACAGGTCATGACCTAGCACATGTGAAGGTCTAATGTATCAGCTAACCATACTCTTCAACTTATGGTCTGTGTACCTACTCCAGTCTACATAAATGTCCTGGCGGTCCGCCAAACAATGCCTGCCTTTTCATGTAGCAGCTATAGCCAAAAACTAACTAGAGAAATCAAATAGATATTGTTGCAGCGATCCATCTCTCAGAAACAAACCCTCCAGTCATACTTTCAAGGTTGTCTAACCTCTAAGCAGCACTAGCTAAAATTGTTATCATATTCAATCAACAAAATGCTAACTACATTTGTTTCTGTCTTTGCCATCTTGCAGTCAACAGAATATTTTTTTCCTACTTTCCCAAGTCGCAGGTGTTAGCAGGCTGAAGAAATTGAGCTGAATACGTAGATGCAAAGAGGGTGAAGAGAACTGAGAAACTAACTTTACCCTTCTAAAACTTCTCCCTAGCATTCACCAGATGTGAATTCTGGTAGAAAGTTATGGTTGTTCACCAATTTCTGGACTCTGGTCCATTCTAGAACTTGAGTTTTGCATGCATATCCATTTTACAGATCTGGCTTATTTATATGCAGACTGTTGGTTCCTCGCCTCTCAGGCAGATGCTTGTTATGGGGATGGTAGGTCTATTACTTTTCCTCCCAAATGGGGCCATGGGACTTACTTGGAGAACCATACTAAAACAACAAAAGTCCATACTTACAGAATATACAGATGGCAATGAAACGTTCTGCCACAACCGGCACCTCACAGTCAGGAAACAATGGCTGCAGGATGTACAAAGATGCTATGAGACTGAGTGCAGCAATCCCCACGGGGCAGATCAACAGGAAGTTTATCCACAGACAGATAAATGCTGGGTAATCTCCGAAAGCCCTCTGGATATAAACATACTCTCCTCCTGACTGCGGCATGGAAGCTCCGAGTTCAGCATAGCACAGGGCACACAGTGTGTTGTATACCCCGCAGATGGCCCACATGATCATAGATAAGCCAATCGATTTGGTGTGCATCAGAATCCCCACAGGGGAGACAAAAATCCCTGAGCCGATGATGATGCCAACAATGATGGCGACACCCTGGAACAGGGTGATCTGTTTCTTTAGAGCAACTTGGTCTGGCATTTTTGAGTCTTGAGTACCAGCAAGTCAGTAAAACAAAACTGTAAAATCCTTTACAGTGTTTACAAAAAGCGTAAAAACAAGTTGAAGAATGTTACTAATAATAAATGCCCACTGTGATATTCCTGACTGCTGCCTTCAAGGACACTAGAAGGTGTCTGAATGTTCACTTTACACAAATAAAACACAGTTGATGAAATGTTCCCTAAATGTCAGATTCAAGCACAAATGAGATAATATAATGTACCCAAATGGTATCTTTGAACGAAACTGATAATATTCCGACAACGTTAATTTTAAACACAGCTGATGAAATGTTCTTTGAACTTCCCTTAACTTTATGCACAGCTGAGATACTATTAACTCTAAGCAATGATGATAAATTGTTTCCTGGGTGTTACCTGTAAAATGTGAAAAATAGCCAACAAATGACTACACGTACATACAGGCGGAATAATATACATTATACAATTTAACACAATTTGTATAAGAGTTAGTATCTACCACCCCCCCCCCCCCCCCCACCTTTTCCAAGCTTTTAGCTGATCTGGTAGCACACCTGCCTGCTGGTATCAGTGGTGTATTCAAAATGAAAGCAGAATTTTGTAACAATTAACCTCAGGCACCAAGAAATGTTCCTGAAAGTAAAGGTGCTCAGAGTGAGTGATCAGATGGACACAACGATCAGCGTAACAACAGATTTATGTGATTTGTTTATTTCATAATTCCAGTGAAAAGAATTAAATATGAAGTAATGCACCTGAATATGCCAAGCAGCAAATTCTACAATGTGTTGCTTATCATTATTTATAGAAAAGTAAATTGCCTGTCTACTTTTTATTTGCTAAATATTGTTAAGGATGAGGGAATAAATCAATAATTTTGGTTTTAAAAATGAAAAACTTCCTCTATTCTTCTGATAAGCCACACTTGACACTGAAATAGGACCAGATTGTTGTCGCTAAGCTGGACTTTGAATCTGATAAAACAATTCAAGTTGTTTGATAGATTTAGCTAATGGGCACATCTGTGTTTAAGGACACATTTGTTCTGCAGCTAAGTGCTGTCATCTGCAAATGATAGGTTCAATTCCTGGGATCTATCCACTAACTACACCACGGCGACTTCGCATTTCTTGTAACAGAACTATATAAACTGGAGGAAAAAATAACAAATCACTACACTTGACTACACAGACACCTTTTTCAAAAAAGGGGATTTCAATGACCTAAACGACCGAAGTCAAAATCAGTACCCCTTCGAACGGCGACGCTACTTAAATCTAACTTAGGATGAACTTAAGAAGATGGATTCAACATAGTATCTACTTATTTGATTCTGAATACTTGTAAATAAAGACAGCGCAACTAAATTCAGAACACCACTGACATTCCGACATTTTCAAAACAAAATAATAATAATAAAATAACTGGTTCTGCGAACTCTAGCACGACACGTCGTCACGTGTAACTATACTACTACGCTCTATAAATATAAACTTATAATAAATTAGTTCACTAATAACCGTACGAAGGGGAAGATATCTAGTATTCCAAACGAAGTCAAGAATCTCACTTGTAGAAAGCACCACGGACAACCGAATCAACAACAAAAGCAGAGACTGGAGGATGGAAGTCCGAGCGACGTCTGCTGCACCGCGTGTTTTGCCGTGCTGGCTGCTCTCCAGCTCGGGACGGAAGCTCGACACACACAACAATGTCTGCGGGAGGTCATCATTGTTTCACACATCATCCTGCGATAAATCGTAAAAACGTCTACACAAATAACCGCTATCAATCTGTATTATTTTATTATATCTATACATAGATATGCTTTATATTTCTAAAAAATTATTACTGTAGATTTTACATGTACTAAATAAATGCATAATTGACTACAATAATAATAAGACATTAAGGGAAATCCCAAAAATGTAAATTCTATATTTAGTTTGAGAGTGGGTTATTTTCAGCCAAATCACAGACTATCTTTTATTGGTGACCCATTTTATGTGTGGACAGGGGACGACAGGCGTCAGCCAATCGCGGGAGTGATGATGAAACCGCGGGTACTGGAAAACATGACGGGAGGACATTGAATGAACTTGTTTGGTTCTCCTTATATTGAATCCACATGGCCCCAAAAAATATAAGAGCGCTAAGCCCCCCCCCCCCCTTTTTCCCCCTTTTCCACGATTTCTTTCTGAACCGGGCTGGTAGTTTGAATGCACAAAGAAAAGTAGGCCGACTATAGAAATGATGGGGTGATCGTGAATCTGCAACCGTGACCAGACAGCAAAAAGAAGTCAATTGGGTTCACGGCCAGTCCAGAAGAAACGAAAGTAAAAGAAGAATAAATAGTTCAACTCTCAGGTGGTGTAGTCAGCCGATAAACGCCGAGGGTTATACTAAAAAAAAAAAAAAAGCGTGGGGGCGGGATCCGAGAATGCACAGAGAAGATGATCTACCTAAACGATTGACTAATCAAAGAACAATAAATATCTGTTAATTTAATAACCTGCCTCTAACCACGACCCGGGCCATGCTGCTGACGTCACCGGGTCGGGCTAACAATGCGTTAACGCAGCGGTTCTCAAAAAAAAAAAAAACTATTTTCGACAGTGCTGAGGGAAGACAACTTAAATTTTAACTTTTAAATATCAACATGCCTTCTTTTATAATTTCACAATTTTCAACGGACTTTTAAAAATTATTGCTGATGGCACTCCAGGGTGCCTTTGTACCCAGTTTGAGAACCGCTGAGTTAACGCACCCTTAGCCCGACCCGGTGATGTTAGCAGCACGGCCCGTCAGCGGGAGCCGGTCGTGCTATAACCCACTTGGTTTCACTGCAAGGTCATTTTAGATAAATTGTTTTCAGGTTTAAATTACAATTTTCTTAGCTTGTGTCCTATCCCAAGTCTCCTTATTTTCCTCACCTCGGTTTACTTCTCTCTCTCTCTCTCTCTCTCTCTCTCTCTCTCTCTCTCTCTCTCTCTCTCTCTTCTCTCTCTCTCTCTCACTCTCTCTCTCTCTCTCTCTCTCTTTCTGAAAAAAAGGCTTTTCGGTACTTGTAACGAACTCAGGCCCATCTAAACACTTATGATTGACGGAGCGGCCAGGATACTGTGATTGGACGTTCAGTCTCTACCTTAGCCCTTGAGACACGCAAAGTGTAAGTGGCTGGGTTGTCAGCTTGGTCGACGCTCCTACCAGCTACCACGCTTGCTCCATATTACAGGGCGTGAGCGCCTTTAAAGACACTATAACATGTACAACTGGCCCTAACTCTAACCCCCCTACTCCAAACACTGAACCTGGCTCCCACGAGAGAGTGCAATCTATAGCAGTACACCTCTAACCTTGAGCAACGTTGACCATCTTGATCAAGCATCAGTAAAAGGAAACCTAGTGTGAAGATGGGCCTGGGTTCGTTACTAGTCCCAGCTTTTTTATTAGTAATTGTATCATACCATTTAACTCATCTCCTTCTAATCTGCGCAGGCACCAGTTATTAAGTGTTTATTCCATACAAAATTTGATATCAGAGGTAAATATTTTTAAATTGGGGCTAGTTTCAATGTCATTTCCCTGCCACATACAGTATTTTTCCATCATCAATCAGCATTTTTTTTTACAGAACGTCGCTCCCACCATGGCACCCCTGAAAGTATCTCTTTCTCTAGCAGATCTCTACCCCTATGTGCTTTCATAGCCAACGCATCCTCAACGTCTAGGATCCATATGAGCCAGTTCTCCTCAGTACTGAGATCAATAGGATATCAGTGTGCATTTTCCCTTCATCCTCCTTTTTCTTTTCGGTACATTGTATTCTAAGAATCTTTATGTAGCATTTCAGCTCTAAAAAAGAAATTTTTTGTTCAAAGAGTCCATGACTCAGCCATGAGTTGCTACCGGCAGATACATGATATCAAAATGTGTACTGTAACTGTCTTGCAGGTGCTGTGTTACTGTAACTGGCTTGCAGATGTTGTGTTACTGTAACTCGCTTGCAGATGATGTGTTACTGTAATCGGCTTGCAGAGGTTGTGTTACTTTAACTGGCTTGCAGATGGTGTGTTACTGTAACTGGCTTGCAGATGCTGTGTTACTGTAAACGGCTTGCAGATGTTGTGTTACTGTAACCGGCTTGCAGATGCTGTGTTACTGTAACTAGCTAGCAGGTGTTGTGTTACTTTAAGGCAGTGGCTTTTATATTTACAAGGGCTCCTCCCCTTCTCCAGTGGATATGTGGCAAGGACCCCCTTCCCCTTGCCCAACTTTATTGACAAATAAATGCACATGATATCCTATTAATTCAATTTTTAATGTAGATCTACAAACTGCACATGAAAACAACAACGTCCTTGGCTTTTTGATTTACAATGTTGTTTAAAGTAATAAAAAAAAAATTATAATAATCAAACGAAAAACAAATTGATATAATAGACTATAACGACTACAAATGAAATCAATTTTAAAACTGCGTGACGCCCTCTTGTTACTTTCTTGCACCCCCTGGGAAAAGGGAGTGGGGGGGGGGGGGTTCCTTACTAGGTTGAAAACAATGCCCGGTCGTGCACAAGGAGTTAATACAATGGGACACAACGAGTTACCCTGAGAGCAGTGATGTAGCGGACCAGAGGTCGCAGTTGGGTCAGCCTCACAGAGTTCAGCAAAAGCATATCATGTAAGGTAAAACAAACGTGACCTGAGATTCTGGGTACTGAACGAGTTAACCGACATCTAGCCACCAGTAGATAGATCACTTCTGCTGTCAATCTCGAGATTCATGTGACCATGTTTCGTAGGTCAGCCTGGGGACCTGAGCAAGGCAGCAGCTGTTCATTTTTACATAAACCAGTCTTCCTGTGTAGGGTTTCGCGGCTTCCTGAAGAAAAAAAAAAAAGGGGGGGGGGGGAGTTGGTGGTTGGTTGGGGGGGGGTGGGTTGGGGCGCAATTATAGACCCAGTGCTCCCATACAAGGCGACTAATTAGGAGTGC